CCGCGGGCACACCAAGATTCGAAACCCGTGTGACGAAAAAGGACGAGTCTTTACAGTGTAAAGTCCTGACATTTATCGTATTGAAACCCCTACAGGCCGAAAATCCCCCGACCCTGTAAAGCTCTACTCTACCAGAACCCCAAAGCGATAAATCTTACGACCCTGAATGCCCTACCACCCTGACGACGACACCCGGGCCCCGATCATTGAAGGTCGCACGATTTAGTCCTGCGGAGCTCAAGGCTTAACGGGTCTTGGCAAAAAGACACCGACATCTCAACCGAAAATGTGGAGCTCAGAATCAGGGGGCTGCGGTTTTTGTGCTGGTGGCTGTAGGCCCGCTGAAACCTTGAAACTCTGAACCCCGAAACCGCCCTGCGACAACCACAAACCGTATAAAACCGCACAAAGATCGTCTAGCGCCCCAAGCTGGCTCAGGAAGGCACGCCCTAAACCCTAAACCCTCAAAGGGAATCCCCTAAGCCCTAAACCCTAAACCCTCAAAGGGAATCCCAACCACAGCGACTTTTTTCTCAAAAGCTGCGCACCTCGGAATCCGAGCTTCGGGGTTGTGGGTTGGCTTAGGCTTTACCCAGGGATCCCCCAATCCTTAGGTTCGGAAGGTCCGGGGGCTTGTAAAAGGGCTTTTTCGGCTTCTAGCTTGCAAGGTTTTGGGGGCTTTAGAAACTCAGAGTTTCCGGATTTCCGGTGTTTTGCAGCTTTTTTCCCTCCCGCATGGCTAGGACGATGCCTGCATGCAGGATAGGGGCTCCTATTCCATATATTCGTGTGTTACGCTGTGGTACTCGTCTGCAGGCTTACCACCCTCAGTACTCATCAACTTCTGGATTTAAGCTTGGGTTGCGGGTTTGGGCTGTAGCAGTTAGGGTTAAGGGCTTAGGATGTTCTCACGCACTCGAAACCCGCTTTTTGAGGTGACAGATACACAACTTCGCGATTCTAGTGATGCAGTTCTAGGATTACCGTAGTAAGGTTTACAACTCATATAGAAACCCAACATGCTACCCTTTTAAACAAAGGGTTCGGGTTTTTGCCTCGGGTTCGGGGTTCCCTGGGCGGGGCTTTCCGGCGTCGTACTTCTTTTAAGGCAGCTTGGGACGCGGTTTTCGCACCGAAGCCATCTGGCTGAGCAAAGTTTACCAGTCCCTCTTTGTTAACGCATACCGAGTGTAATTGGCATGGCGGTGCTAAGCCAATTCTTCTTGCAGTGGTAGCTGTCGAACCTGTAGAATATAGAACCTAACAGGCCTAAACCCCCAACCACGAGCCCTATACTTATAAGGCGTAGGTCGCTATAGCTCTTCCTCTTCCTGACCGTCCCCCTCATCATCATCCGCAGGCGAATGGCAGGTGATCTCCTTACATCCAGGGTTCGCTTGCTCTCAACGTAAGAAACCTTAAAAAAATAAGCGCTGGGACCAGCTCTTTGAGAGTGCTAGTTTTGAATATAGGGGCCTTAATAATTAGAATAGGGTTTTGGGTATATTAAACCATAACTATAATAAGAAACCCACAAAACAGTATAGGCAATTATTTCGACCCCTATATTACGGGTCTGTCTGTGGAATGGCTTGGAGGCAGAGCTTCTGGAACTTGATTCAAGTTGCCATAATCCAGAAATCACTTTGTTTATATACCATGTATACATGTCCGTATATGTACATGGGAATATGTATATGTTTATGTATATGTATACTGTATGTTTTTGTATGTGTAAACGTGTATGTATATGTATATGTGCATATACAAGCATGTATCTATGCATGTATGTATGAAGGAATGTATGTACGCATGAATGCATGCATGCATTGATGGATGGACGGATGGATGGATGGACGGAGGGATGGATGGATGGATGGATGGATGGATGGATGGATGGGTGGATGGGTGGATGGGTGGATGGGTGGATGGGTGGATGGGTGGATGGGTGGATGGCTGGCTGGCTGGCTACATGGACTACCCCTGAAGATACATCGGAGCCCTTTCTTGAACCCAGACTCTGCCAACCAGGCTCAGAACCCTAAACCCTAAACCCTTGAAGTATGTTTGGAGATCCCAACCCCTAAACCGCTAAAAAGGAGCCGGAAGCAGCCGGAAAGACTCCAAAACGAGCTCATTGATGACTATTCGTTCCTTCCTCAAGGACCCTCAGCTGAGGGATGCCGGCCCAGGCAGTCCCGGACCCTAAACCCTAAACCCCTAAACCCCTAAACTCTAAAGCTGCAAGCCTCAAGTCAAACCCAAGATCCTCCGGTGGACTTCCCGGAGGATCTGGGGTGTAGGGTATTCCCCTGCCCCTCTTCTTGCCAGCCCGGCATCTCTCTTCTTGAAGGCCAAAAAGCCTGATCTTGCGTTCCGAGGTGGCTCGGGCTCTTGAGCTGGGGCTGATCTTTGCAATCCAGGGCTCGGGTTTGAGTTCAGGCCCGCGAACTGCCCCTGAAGATTTGTAACTGCGGTCTACCTATTTCTACGTTGGCAGAGACAGAGAGACTGCAACTGGCACAAAACCCCTAAACACCTACCGTCCAAGCTCGGGGTTTGTAGCAGGAATTCTGTCCAAGGGCCCCAGCACCAGAAAAAGAGCAACAGGCTACCGCTGGCAAGGGTTTAAGTAGTGCAAACCGCGGTGAACTGAATAAACGACTAGAAGAACAAGGTCATACTGTAATGTATAAGAAGAGAAAGCCGGAGCAGAAAGCCCAAACGGCACACCTCAGCCCCCGCAAAGCTCATACCCGGTCATACCCCGTAGGCTTAAAAGCCACCGAACCCAAAACAGAGTGCGGCCATGGCGAACACACCGACCCAAAGCCAGAACCTAGGCCCTCTGGGAAGCCTCCTTAACGAATGCGACCTAGTACTGAGCTCCCTGGGCGCCCCCCCAAAGTTTCACATGTTAGGGTTTAGGGCTTAGGGTCTTGCATAGTGCGGAGCAAGATCTACCCATGAAGGATCGAGGTCGCCTCCCTACCCATCTACTCTTTGCCAAAGGCCCTAACTAAGCCCTGAACCTGAATTACATACTACGCCCCATATCCCAAACACACACAAATTCTTTTTTGAGGCCATGATAAGGCAGCCCAGGCGCATGAGGAAACCTTAAATCCAATTTGAGTTCATAAAACCCAAGCCTACACCCTGAAACCCTAAAGCCTATAACTTCAAAACGGAATCCAAGCCTCAAGCCACAAACTTGTAAACCGCAAGCAAGTACATTACCGCCAAAGGCCCCCAGCCTTTTGTGATCGGATCTTCCGCAAGCTCGGAGCCCGTCGGGTGCACGTACCAGAGCCTTTGAAGGAGGAACATGGCACAGTGTACTGCTGGGGTTTGGGGCCATGTTTGGCCCTCCCTCTATCCCTAAACCCTAAATCCCCCTAACCCGAAACCCTGATCCCTAAACCCTAAACCCGAAGTCCTAAACCCTCAAGCCAACGTCTCCGAAGAATGCCCAAAAATTCATGGATTCTTGCTTCCAGGGTCCGAGGGATCTGAGAGATCCCATAATACACTTAGGGTTTAGGGATTAGGGTTTAGGGTTTAGGCTCTCACAACTCGGACATGCCAGGCGAGGTTCATAGGTGCGAGTCGGCGTGAAACTAAGGCACACAGCCACCCACGGTTTAGGGATTAGGGTTTCTTTTGCCCTGCTACTTGGCGAGGACGAGCCCGCATTGCAGGGTAAGTTCAGAACTGTGACACAGCAGATGCAAGCAGTATGAACTCCGTCTTGGATTCGACACTCTCCGTCGCCTCATATAACATACTGGTAGGATCTGGATCTTCGTACCCGCGAATTTTTACACGGTTACACACCGCCAATGCCCTCCTGGCCTGCTGGAGGTGGGGGTTCGAGGTTTAGGGTTTAGCCCATGCCGCATACCCGAAAAACTACAACAGCACCAAAAAAATCTTACAGCCATAGAACCTCGAAGCCCGAAACCTCGAGAAATCCAGGAGTTTAGCACGCAGGAAGTAAGCAACCTCTATTCGGATGATCGACGCCCAAGAAAATCTCGGATCGACCAGGCAAGGAGGTGACGGGACCCTGGCCTCCTTGTGTAAGGCAGTCGTGTGGTTTAAGGCGAGTGGCGGGTTTCCAGTAGCTAGTTTTGGGATGCCATGAAGCGAAGAAAGCTTCAAGTTTGGTGGCCTTCTGCAGACGGGCAGCCTTGTCTGAGGGTGGTGGTGGTAGCCAACACACTCCTGAGTGCACGAACCAGGCCAAGAGTTAAGATGTTTGGGGAGGTTAGACAGTTTTGGGGTCTATTATACTATACTCACCATAAGGAACCCCCAAAATAGTACAGGTAATTATTGTGGCCCCTGTGCTAGATATGCTTCAGGCTCCTTGAAAGTAAGACTTCCTAAACACTAAACCTCAAAACCCCAACCTGTGGTTCAAGGTACTTCCGGGGCCTGAGGCCGAACCCGCACCCCGGCCCCAGAGAGACCAAAACCTCTTAGCCATGGTCTCGGGTTCAGGGTTTTGGGTTTAGGGTTTAGGTAATTGTTGGGTGCGTGTTATCATGACTCAAGGCATTACGGACGTTGGGCTGTATGGGTGTAGACAGTCGATCCCGACCTACGAGGTGCTGAAACGGTGTTAGCTCCACCTTCTTATCAGTTTACGGTACCCGAGACCACCAGAAACTTGGAACATGGCTTAATGAACGAGTATGAGTGCAGGGACTCCGCTATACCTTCCCTCAAAGCCGTACCAATTTTCTGGGAGTTGTTGTAAGTAAGAAGGAGCACACTTCAATACGTGCCCTCCGCAAAAGCCATAGCACCCGAACAGGACTCCTCGGCCGTCAAGATCAGCGAAAAACACAAGCGTCACGGCCCAAAGGCTCAGCTTAGGAGATAGAGTTTAGGGTCTGCGGATCAGTGATCAGTGGTAAGCTTCGACACACTCCCCGTCTTTTCAGCGCAACCGGCTCGTGATTTGAAGCGGCTAGTGCAAGATCCCGAAGTCCTTAAAAGAACTCGAGAGCCGTCGCGGTACTTAGGCTCCGGATCCCGGTAGTCTGCCACACTGTTTAACGTTTAGGGCCTTGCTAACGACCGTAACAGGCATCTCTTCCTCCAAAGCCCTGGCCCAGCTCCAAAAGGCCAAGACGGGTAACCACCAAGTGGCTTCGTTCTCGTCGCAGAAGACCTTTGCCTCGTCCTCTCACAGCATCCGGATAGGCCCAACTTTGGACCCTAAACTTAGTCTGAAGTGACCTCAGCTCGTAAACGCATATCCCAAACTTAACGCTCAAACCCCTAGGCATCCCTAAACCCTAAACCCGAAACGAACAGACCGAAGATGCCAAGTCCTCAGTGGGAAACTTCAGCCACACCTGCGCACCCGTGAAAGCCTGGCAGCAAGGTAGGGTGTAGGGTACTGGATTTTTGAAGTTCGGGATGGGGGCTTCATCCACATACCCGGCCACTACACACAAATACACCCTAGAACCTAAACCCTAAAACATCGACGGGATCTCTAAACCCCAAGGGAGAAGGCCTCCTTCAACCGTTCAGTCGACCTCAACTCCCAGAGACTATGCCCCAGGAAGCAGCCATGAAAGCAAGAAGCAGTTTGTCTGCTGCAAAACAATGCCAACACCATGCCAAACTCAAACTTCGCTGTGGCTATTAATTCTGTGCTTACGGATATTGGGGCTTGCTACTAAATTCTAGAATGTTCTAGACGTAGGCCGGGGCGCACGTTGCCTTGAGGCAAGTCTTGACTGGCAAACTGGTCCCAAAGATGCCGGAGGCAAGGCGCAACCACCCCTAACCCCGAACCCGAAACCCAGAAGCCTGAACCCCAAGGGTTTAGGGTTTAGGGCCATACAAACCTTAAACCCTAAAAGCCCAAACCGTAAACGCTAAACCCGCCACACAGCTGCTGCCCTGGTATCCGAGCCTTGTCCTGGCTCTTGCGATAGCTGCATATCTGGCTGGGCTTGACATCCACCTTCATTAGGGCTTCTGTGGGTTCTACATAAACAAAATAGACCCTACTTGATATAACATATCATTATCTACCGTACTATGATATACCATATCATAATGCAATGCTATATCTAATCTATCGTGAGGGTTTAAGGGGTTCGGGCAAAGAGCTGATTATCGCCCATCTTGATCTCCAAACAGTTCTGCCCTCAGATTCAGATCCCCATGCAGTTTCGGCATAGTCTGTCGCAGAATCCTCTTTCATCGCCAGGCATAAGTCGTCCAGATGGGCACCATGTGCAAATCAAGTGTGGGGTGAAATCCTTAGGACCTCACCCAGCAGATACTTAGATAGGCTCAGCTTCGCTGGCCAAAGGAGATCGAGTGTGCCCACAGAAGCCTTAAAGAACTCAGCGCTGACTATGGGGGTCCCTATGTTGCAGCCAAGCCCAAGCCCCTGTGGCCCAGCCATCTCAAAACAAACTCAGCACTGCGTGCCTGTTACACCCGCTGTGGCACAGGTCTCGCCATCCTTGTTCAGACCAGCTAGGATCAACTCCCAAAACCTAATGGGATCACTGACTTTCCCTGTTGTTGGGCAGACCAAGGCCTTGTCTTCATCTGCGCACTCCGTGTCACAGGAGCAAACCGCGTAGCAATCCTGCACCGCTTTGAGCGCCGCGCAGCAGTCTGCCACGGTTGTTTCGCCACTCATGACTTTGCTGTACTCTGTGACGCCACAAGTCTCGTGCGACTGCGAGGTCTTGTCGACAACACATGTGATCATGCCATCACGCTCACAACCACAGCCAGCCAGCACCATTGCCAAGACAGGCAGGGCGAGAGCCAACACACCACGACGGAGCGACATGGCGCTTTGTTGCGGTCTACGTGTGTAGGGAGGAAAGGGAAGCGAGACAATCGCGCTTTGACGGATGGCTTGAGCCGTAACGACATTACAACATGTGCAACTCTGCAAAGACCGCTTTGATTCCCTGGGAGTCTTTGTAGGCAAGTGCACAATCCATTTTTCTAGATGCCTTCGTTCGGCGAACTCGGCAAACCCAAACGCTACAGCGCAATCCTTTACTCCCCGCCCCCGCAACGGCTGGGGACGCCACGCCGTGTGCAAGCAGCCAGCAAACCCCAGCAGAAACGATGCCGCGCATGGCTCCACAGGAAAAGCAGTTTCTTCTGGGACCGGCTAGCATTTCCAATTGTTTAGGCCTCTGCATTAGGTGGTTCTTCAAGGCTTGTATAGGGGTGGTTGGGGTTCCGGGCCCTAAACCCTAATTCGTTCACCGGGTCCTTTTTGTAGGTTATCTATGCATCTTTCTGAGAATGCGGGTATATTGGGATTTGAGGTTCGGGTGCTTGACTTCGCCTGGGTGCGCTCTTTGCGCCTGCTGAGGACAAAGGGGGCAGGCGTTAACTGTAGGTGCTAAGCCTAAGCCCTAGACCCCAAATCTCTAAACCATAAATCCTAAACCCTGTTAATGGTCCAGGATGGGATCTGGAGAAGATTTGGGTCTGCGAGTTGAGGGTTTCGGCTCTGGGCACGGAGGAATTCCTGCATCTGCGAAGAGGACTGCAGGGAGATTCGATGAGGTGGTTTTGGGTTCTGTGGGGGGACTGTGAGGCCGCCGTTGAACAGTTTTACTCGTCGGGCCAGGGATGGCTAATATAGGGGCATTAATAATTGAATAGTGTCTTGGGGCGCATTATGGTATATGTGGAAAATGAAGGCCATGATACTGGTAATTCTTCGAGCTTCTATATTATGTTAAGGCCTCGTGTCTTGATGTCCTGGGCAGGTTCTCGAGCCGAAACATGGCAAAAGGGTTCCTATAGACGTGGCACGATTTGCACTGAAGCCGCTGCCGGCTTGAAATTCAGGCCCGCTCGAGGATTGTAAGAGGAGGGAAGACTTCACAGCACTAGCTATATGTTGGGAACGTCACCATGTTACAAGAACGAAGGACTTAGAATGCTAGTCTGTTTGCCGCACCGCCTTTAAGAATCAGAGCCCTCCAAAACCCCAGAAGAGACCCCTGGCTGGAGTCGCGGAAAACCAAGGAATGGAGGAATGGAGGAGGGGTAGTTCAAAAACATACAAAGTGGCCTGCATAACTAGGCTAGACTAGGGTTGTGCGCTGTAATAGGAACCCGAGGGACTGAGTTTATGACTTTTGTTACCACTACTACGATTATTGTTGCTATTCTGCAGGCTTCAATATTGCGGCTTGGAGTTCTTCTATAGGGTTCAGGTGTTTGAAAGAGAAGAAGTCTCGAACCTCTACCCCATAAATGGCCCCTGAAGCCCTGCATCCTAAAACGCCCAAGCTCTTCAGCTCACTCAGTCTCGTGCTAATAAGATTCGCGACAGCTGCCTCAGCTTCGCAGGAGGGTTTACTGGGGGAGTAGTTTGACAGCCCCCGGAATAGTCAGGAATCGAAACCTATAAAAGACCATGAGAGAACTCCACAGATTTCCCGAAGGGCCACCGGGTGGACCTTATCTTGGAGCTGCACGGCTCCGGAAAGCCCTGCCGACCGAAAAAGCGTCAAGCAAAAACCAGATAGGCCCCCTTAGGGCTTTAGCCAGCTTATCGGAAGAATTCCCCATGCAGAACCGGATTTTGAGGTATCTTATAGAATAGGTATGTATATTCAGAAACCTTCCGGGACTTGAGTGGCCTCCTCAGAACCTTCAAGCTCCGACACCCAAATCCTTCGCCTTCCCCCTAAGTCCCAGACCTGCACCCATTCTTGACGGTTTAGGGCTCATGGGCTCAACCCGAAGCCCTAAGCTATCTAAACTCTGAACGTATCCAGAACTCCTAACGCGCTTGGGTTTTTTTTTCGGGTTCAGGGTTTAGGGTTTAGGGTTCCTAACACCCCTTCCCCTCCTCAACACCCCTGGTGCGACCCAGGCACTGCGATGGCCGGCGTGGCAGACGCCCCGACGTTGCCGAGATGCAGCCCACCGGAACGGGTAGCAGGCATGGTGTGGATGACCTGTAAAATATTGCTAGCAATAGCACTGCGAATCACAATAACAATAATGATAATAATACTGATAGTGCTAACCATATTAATAGTAAAAATACGAATGTTATGATTCTTCGGCTCTTTAGAGCGTGGGTTGCTGTCTCCTGTTCTTCTGGGCGCAGGGTTGAATTTAGGGTTTGGGGTTTGGGACGGCTTGGGGGCTTGGGGGCCAGGGCGGTTCGGGGTACCCATGTTCAGAAAGGACCCTTCTGAAACGAACCCCGAAGTTCCCGAGAGAACCACCGGGCCGAAGCAGGGACAGCACACCGGGATGGGTGCAAGCCAGAACACAGGATGTAGAGAGAGAGAGAGAGCTCACGAAACTAGAAAAGCGGCCTGACCATGACTTCACTTGAAGGGATTGGCATGCTTACCTGGTATTGCGCACAGACTCAGACCCTTGACTGACAAAAGAGATCGGATCAAACACATCGGCAGCAGGATTGTTCCTCCCGGGTACCTGTCCGGGGACAACATTCTACAAACGAACACACACCCTAAACCCTAAACCCTAAACCCTAAACACACACACACACACACACGACCGGCCCGGGGGTGCGCAGGAGAGGTCAAATTTTACTCTGCGGCCCCCTTAGTTCAAACACCCCCATCGACTCCTGGAGCCCAGAGATCCTCAACTAGGCCCGAACACACATCTCGATGCAAGAAGGACAATCCTTTTGGGGCGTCCCCACCCGCCGACAGACGATTAGGGTTTTGGGGTTTTTACGGCTTTTTGGGATTCTAGGGCGTAAGGAACAAAACGGGAAAACACAGAAACCAGCCCCAAGACTCTATCCCTCGCCCCTCCCCAGCCCCTAAACCCTAAACCCTAACCCCCTCCCCCCCCCCCC